GGACAAAGATTTCTATATTGTACTCATGTTTCTTTTATTAATGATAATGATATAATTTTTATTGATAAAACCGGTTTTAACCTTCATCAATCAAGACATCATGGATATGAATTAAGTGGGAGAACACCTTATATCACTGTACCAACACAAAGGGGAAGAAATATAAGCCTTACATGTGTGCTATTTCCGTAGAAAGTATTATATCATTTCAAATAAAAGTAGGATCTTTTGATGCTGTCAGTACGAAAGAATGGATTGAAAATTCATTGATTCCAGCCCTAAATAATCGAAGGTATGTTATCATTATGGATAATGCTCGATATTATCATTCAGCTATTGTAACTTCTGCAATTCAAAATGGAATGTGTGTTGTTCACTTTCTCCCACCCTATATTCCGCAACTTAATCCCATTGAAGAGCTTTTTGGGGCAATAAAAAATAGATACAAATAGATAGAATTATTCCAAGACCAGTAACAACGGGGGATATGGAAATGGAAATATCAAATATTCTTTTAACATCTCGTAATGAATCACTACAAGGATTTTATACACATATGCGTGAATGGGTAGTAAGAGGAATCCAAAGGAATGAATTCATTTAAATGAAATTTATTGACTATCTTATATCTTTATTTACATCTTTGCATTTACATCTTTGTATTTATATCTTTATTTACTTATTTGTATTTTTTCACATTCAAACTGTAAAATTTTTATTAAAATAGTATATTTTATCTAAAAACGTGTTTTGAGTGAATCTAAACCTATAACACTTTTTAAATTAAACTGATAGATTTGTTTCATTTTCTAAGCAATAAAAAAATCTTTTCTAATATCAAATAATTTTAAACGTGACGAAAATAATTATGGACGCGGCGAAAATAACTGTGGACGCAACGAAAATAATTATGGACGTGACGAAAATAATTATGGACGCGACGAAAATAACTCTGGACGACCCTGTATTTAAAAACTAAATTATAAAGCACTAAAAACTATTTAAAATATTATTTAAAAACTAATTTATAAATCACAAAAACTATTTAAAATATTATTTAAAAACTAATTTATAAAGCACTAAAAACTATTTAAAATATTATTTAAAAACTAATTTATAAATCACAAAAACTATTTAAAATATTATTTAAAAACTAATTTATAAAGCACTAAAAACTATTTAAAATATTATTTAAAAACTAATTTATAAATCACAAAAACTATTTAAAATATTAATTAAAAACTAATTTATAAAGCACTAAAAACTATTTAAAATATTATTTAAAAACTAATTTATAAATCACAAAAACTATTTAAAATATTATTTAAAAACTAATTTATAAAGCACTAAAAACTATTTAAAATATTATTTAAAAACTAATTTATAAATCACAAAAACTATTTAAAATATTAATTAAAAACTAATTTATAAAGCACTAAAAACTAATTAAAATATTATTTAAAAACTAATTTATAAATCACAAAAACTATTTAAAATATTATTTAAAAACTAATTTATAAAGCACTAAAAACTATTTAAAATATTATTTAAAAACTAATTTATAAATCACAAAAACTATTTAAAATATTATTTAAAAACTAATTTATAAAGCACTAAAAACTATTTAAAATATTATTTAAAAACTAATTTATAAATCACAAAAACTATTTAAAATATTATTTAAAAACTAATTTATAAAGCACTAAAAACTATTTAAAATATTATTTAAAAACTAATTTATAAATCACAAAAACTATTTAAAATATTATTTAAAAACATTAGCAGCTTTTTATTTTATTTTATGTTTTATATTTTATTGCTACACTTAATTTTTTGTTGCTGTTTTTCTTATTTTATAGAATAATTTTCACCTTTTTTATAAAAAATTTTATTTATTTTTTTATTTTCTTATTTCGTTTTACTCATATTAACGAAAATGGTACGACATTTTAAAGAGTCGTTGAAACTTTGAATACGGCGTATGTTATACATTTTATATCATCTACTTTATACATTATACTTTATATACCATCTAATATATACATTAAATTTTATATATTACACAGCTTATTTTAAGCTGCTAGATAATTAACATCTATAATGGTACCTAGATAGCTCAAATGGTGGGAGCGTCAAACGAAATGTTAAAACTTGGGCTGTTGTGTGAACTAGTTTAAATCAGGCCACTACTAACTCAGCTTATTAGTAGCGTATTGGTACGCTAAAATGTTGGTGTTGACCAACATTAGCATTTTATAACAATATTTTAAATGGACGTTATTTTGGGTTAGTTAAAAAAACTATTTGAGGCTGTTCCTGTGTTGTGCTAACTCCGTTAAATTCCCAGTAAGTCAAATACCGTCAAACCAGTAGTCGAATAACTCAAACATTTGTTATCTCGAACTGTTTGATTTGGTCTCTTGAAACCGTCTAATTGATTACTAACAAAAACTCTCCGGTTAAGATGAACCATTTTTACGTCCCATTTCAGCAAATTTCTTCAGTTAACTCAAACTTTTCGTATGGGATATTAATTAATATCCCATAAAATTTAATCAAAATATATTGATTTCTTAATTAAGAAATCAATATATTTTGATTAAATTTTATTTTAGAAGTGACTCCATATAAAACATTAACAACAAGAAGCTTTATATAGTTTATATTTTTTTGTTGTATTTAGTTCTGAATAGAATAGTAATTAGATCTAAAAAGAATAAATTGTTATCAAACGTAAAATTAGTGCTAAAATAAAACTGTTAAAAAACAAACAAAATAAAATAACGTTAAAAAAGCAATTATTTTCAAGTTTTAATTAACTTCTTAGGGGCTTTCCATTAATTATGTCTACAACTTTTTTGGCAATTTTTTCCTCCTTCCCTCTTGTCAATAACTCGTCAAACTTCAAGAGACACCTCTATAAAATTATATCAACATTTGATTACCCCATACCCCAAATAAAATTAAAATGAAAAAAAAAATTTTTTTTTCTTTTTTTTAAGTAATTTTTCTTGATCTGCCCCTCCCCCTTATAAACAACTGTTAATAATTTTACAATCCTCCCTTATTTTGTTGACATTTTTAATGGACAAACAAATAAAAGATCGCTTTTAGATGCAGATTTGCTACCAAATAATAGCGAAGTCATTTGTTGCTAAACTTTTAACTAATGTTATCATTTGAGTGTACAGAGTGAATATAATACGTAATTTTTATTACTGCAACATTTTTCACATTTTTGTTAGTATAATGGCGTATATTAAATGTTGATACTTAAGCGTTGAATAAGTTAAAATCGCCTTAACTCGCCGGTAACTAGTTACCGGCGAGTTAAGGCGATTTTAAGATTTTAGCTTATTCATATTTGACTAAAGTGAATTCCCGTTTAGTCGAACTTTGGTATGGCTGATATGAGGTACGGCTGATATGAGATAGTTCGAGTTAACTCGAACTACCTTATATCAGCCATACCTCATATCAGCCAAAGTTCGACTAAACGGGAATTCACTTTAGTCAAACATACCTCAAGCCGAATTATTTTCCTTGATCCCTTGGAGGTTCCAGTTACCGTGAATAAACTGTATATCTTCGGATGTAAGTACATATAATTGTATTATACAATCAGAGGCAATTTTGCAAATAAAATGAGGGAGGGGAGTGAATCTTTAAAAAGTACCAACTGGCTTCTAAATAAAAAAAAAAGGTCCTGAAAACAAAAATTTACCTGACTGAATGATGTCAAATACCCGACTAACCGACTAAATTCGTAAAAAAAACAGACTATATTTTGAAAATCACCTTCTTTGGTGGCGGAACACCTCTCCCCCGTAAAATCGCCTCTGTATACAATGTATTTATATCCGAATATATAGCAAAATATATCATGAAATTCAATTAAAAATAAAACTATCTACTATATACTATCAAAATATATACTATCTACTATAAACTATATACTATAAAACTATCTACTATAAGCTATATACTATCGATTATTTATACTTTATATATGCTTTATTATAACAAAAATTATGCATAAATAGTTCCTTAAATATAAAAATTTTATTTAGGAAATTTATCACATCATGTGTTTTTAAAAAAACTTTAGCCAGTGGTTTGTTCTCCAAATGCGGTTGTCCGTTTCTCCCCATCTATTTTAAATATTTAAAGATTAACTATTTTTATTAATTAGATATATTATAAACTAGATATACTTTATCATTATAAATAATGTCTTTTTATTATTTTTTATATATGTTTTATAATACATGAAAAAAAAATCATTTAATTTTCCTTTTAACATAATATAAAAACTTTTTAGTTCATCAAATCAGCTTAAAAAAACACATGTTTATTTGTAAACAAACTCTGAGTTTAAATTATGCATAAAAATGTCTATTTTAAGTTAATATCGTTTAGAAATGTTTTTTCAATTGGTTTTAAAACAAGTTTACACGCAAGCAATTATTTGAATAAATAGTTCTCTAAATTGTTTATGATAATTACTTAAATAAAAACTTAGTTAAAACTTTATTAGAATACTGCATATTCTAATAAAGTCAATTAATTTTTAAGTAATTAATTTGTCTCAACAAAAGTTAGCAAGTGTTATTAATTATTTACAAAAATGTTAACTATTTTATTATTTGAAATTTCAAGCGAAATATACGTTAAAAAACTTAAAACCGAAGTTTTTTACTTTAACTTCACTGTTATAATTATTGCAAAACCCATATATAATCTAAACCTTAAATATTTTTAGTTTTAAATGCAAATGAATTTTTTGAGATTTATTATAAAAAAGACGCCATCACTGACCTCCTAATATACAACAATGGTTTATTTTGCGGGACGAGTTAAATATAATGTTTACCGCTTCTTGAAATTTTTAACGGAAGTTTTTGTTTATTTTTAAAACCACAGCACATTCAAAATAAAGTTCTTATCAATGCAAGCTTTTCTTTTTAAAAAATTATATTTATAATAAATGCAGTCTTTGATTTAAATCTGATTAAATTGCATACAAAGCAATCTATCGTCTATAGAAAAAAAGTATTCAAAGCACGGCATTCGCTTTGGCTTCCTAGCGTTCTCAGAATAAATTATGGATAAAACTGATTCAAGGTAATTCATTCAATGTTGTCCCAATTTAAAAGAGCACATGTCGATTATATGAATATTATGGCGTCCATCAATTGCTCTTTTGCATACTTGTTAGTAATATTGAAAGAAAGGAAGTAGCGGAGGTAAAGAGCATCTGGTATTATTGAAAAACGTTTTTTGTATTAACTTTAAGAAAACGTTATCATACTGTAAGTGATTATAGTATCTATCAGTTAATCTTTTTGTGTGCAGTTTTGAATTGTAGCTATAAGAGTTAAGTAAGATAAAATGGTCTTACCGTCTCTTCAACCTACTATGCCTTTGCCCCTTAATTCATGTATGAATTCTTTTCCAGTTACATCGTCATTATTTTCAAAAAATAATTCAATAAATAAAATAAAAGAAGAAGAACTAAAAACAAAAGTTCCTCCCTTTCATTATTATTACGATCAACTTAATCAAGACTTAGCTGCTAGAAGTAGTAAAAGATTTATAAACGAAGAAAATAAACTTCAAAAAAAATTTATACCCGATTGCACTATACATTCAACGCTTTCTTATTCCAAGTATTCGGCTACAGACGGAACATCAATGCATCCTTTTGAAGCAGAGTTTTATAAAAAGATTCATAACGATTCTCATAATAATATGACACCAACAATACCAATACCACCCACACCAGAATATTTAGCTTATTCTCGTGAAAACTTCAATAGAGCTCAAACTTCTCCTCGCGACTACGCTGTTCGTTTGGCGCAATTCCAATTATCCCCTCTTTTTATGAAACACAAGCAATCATCAAGTGATACTATGAGCTTTAGAATAGAGAATTTATTGCAATCTAATTATTTAAATACTACGTCAAAGTATTATGTTGCTTCAACAGAAGATTATCAACAAAAGCCACAAAGATTATTTTCAACTCTACATGACTCTAAGTTTGTTGAAGATTTATCAACTAATAACGTCTTTCACTATTTAAAGACTCCGACATTAACACATGATAAACACGGTCGTTTTCCTGAAATTCGTAATGCGTATGAACAATCACGGAGAATCACAATTCAGCAAAAAGATCTTGAAAGAAAACTAGAGCAACTATCAACGATTAAATCTTCTCTAAACAGCATTAAGAATAACTGTGTATCATCAGAATGCAGTGATCGAGACGTTGACAGAACAAAACAAAGTACTCTATGTATAGTTAATGACAATGGACAAAATATAAGATTAGAGCGTAATTTATTTAAAAAGAGTACAACCAGAAAAAATTTAGAAGTACAATGTTCAAAAATTGACAGCACTCATACTAATGACGAACTTAAATACGGGGTTGAAGGATTACTAGGTTTAACCATGGCTTCAAATGAACGTTTAAATCATGTGTTAACTAAGGAAAGAAAACGGACAAAAAGTAAGAAATGTCAAAACTATAAACTTAGTATTAATATAGTACTTCTAATTTTTAATTAACAATTTAAGAGTTTTTTCTTTTGAATATTTGTTTGTTTTTGATTTGCAATGAAAAATATTTTTAGATAATAATTGCTTACATCTTTGGCAGTTTCTTCAACGTATGTTAAACGAGGAAGAGAATAATGCAAATAGATCAATTGAATGGACAAATCGAGATATTGGCGAGTTTAGACTTATAAAGACAGCTGTAATTGCTGACTTATGGGGTCAATCAAAAAACAGAAATTGCATGACTTATGAAAAAATGGCCAGAGCTATGCGTTATTACTACAAAATGAAGATTCTAGAAAAAGTACCTCATAAACGACTTCATTTCCGATTTGGCGAAAATATGTTACCAAAAGTTTCTTCGGTGAGTTCAAAGGTTTCATCGGAAAATCTAAAAGTAATAGATTCTAAAAAAAGTTGTTATACTCAAATGATTTACAAAGATTTTCTTCAAAACAAACCATTAAATCCTAATAATAATTTTGATGAAATTAAACTCAAATTACCAAGTGTTACAGATAATATGTTGAGAAAAGCTGTAATTTGCCCAATAGACAAGCTAGAGAAATTTGCAGAGATAGGTTGTAGTTATAAACAATTAGAAAAATCAACTGGCATAACTTTTCAAAATACAAATATCGCTAATCCATACAACAACAAATTTGAAAACAGGCAATCACCATCAAAAAATACTCGCGACAGTGTTCAGTTAACCTCGAGAAAATTTATTATTAGTGACGAAGCAACAGATGAGCATATCGATGTCGAAAACTCTGATGAAGAAACAAGTGAATTCATTTGTTAAAATTGATTTTATATATATATATATATATATATATATATATATATATATATATATATATATATATATATATATATATATATATATATATATATATATATATATATATATATATATATATAAAGCAGTTCCAATATAGTTCGATGGTAGTTTTAAACGATGACGTCAATTTAGGTTACTTCATAAAGTTGTCTAGAAATATATTATAGAAATATATTTTATTTTACCAAGCAAAAAGTTTTTAATATAGTATTGATAATAACATTATAAGATTTTATTAAATGAATTTAGAATTAAAAACTTTAATGTTGATTTAAATACCCATTGAAATTTCGTTCTCAATTGCGTTTGTATTTTTTTAATGTCATCCAAACAAATCAAAATAAAGAACTAAATTATTTATTTGATTTCAAAATTGAAACTGATTAAATCACTAAAAAACTGCTTAACCATTATAACCATCTTTGTTTCTATTGTTTCTAATAATACTTATCTATTTATACTAGTTACGAAATAAAAAATATTTGTTGGAATATTCTGAGTGCAGCACATTTTTTCTAAACTAGTTATAGTGTACCCAGTGGGCACGGACGTAAAAAAGACGTCTTTTAATTGTCTTATACACGTTTTGAATGTCTTTTGAACGTTTTGGAAGTCTTTTGAACGTTCAAAAGACGTCTTTTTTTGGTCCGGTGCCCACTGGGTAACTAGATGAGGTGATGTAAGATGGCGTATGAAAGAGAGGTGGTGTTAGTTGGTGAATGAGAGAAAGCTGGAGAAAAAAAACAAACCTTTTTTTATTAACTTGTGTATTTACTAAAAACAAAAAAAATAACTTTTTTAAAAGCGGAATAACATACATAAGTACGACGACGAATTTGTTTCCAAATTTAAATCCGTAGTCAAAGTCAAACAATTAGATCATTGTCACGACGACGGTTATTGTCACGATGACGACAAGATCATTAGACTAGCATAATCTAATTTATTCAATTTCAGATTTAAAATTGTTTTTTTTTTTTTATCAACTTACTAAAGTTTTAATAACATTTGTATGATACATGGTTATTTTGAGTATAGTAATACCAAACATAAGAAATAACCTATTTGTTAATATCTTTATTTAAGAAAATTGGTTGGCGTTTAAAACTTTTACCATGGGACAGAATTGTCTTGGCGACTGTCTTATCCTTTAATCTAAACAGATCTTGCAAAGAAAGTTACGATGTTGTAACTTCCGACTTTGCTCGTAGAAAAGTTCGTGAAGTCTTGGTAATAGTCAGAAAATATTTATACCAAATCCAGAAATGTTTTTTTCCTTGGTTTTGTATAATTGTTTGATTTGTGAACTTAAATACAGAATTTTTAAATTATTTTGTAAAGTAGAACTAGAAAATAAGAAAATAAGAAAAATTAAGCTATTATTAAGAGCTTTATTGAATATTATATATTATCATACTTATTGAATATTATATATATATATATATATATATATATATATATATATATATATATATATATATATATATATATATATATATATATATATATATATATATATATATATATATATATATATATTTTATATATATATATATATATATATATATATATATATATATATATATATATATATTATAAATATATAATATTCAATAACTATGATAATTTAATCAAGTTAAATACTTAATAATTTAATAATTATAAAGTATGTTTAATTATAAGTTGCATTGATATAACATATCTGAGACGTATTCAAAATTTTTTGATCAAAATCAGATTTTATATCAAACAATAAAAAATGAACTTTGATATTGATTTGATAATAAATTAAAAAAACCAAAAATTTTTTAAATTTTACAAAAAGTGCCACGTAAACTTTTTTTTTGGAGCATTATCTTTTAAAACTTCTTGATCTTCTTTATTCTAGAAGCTAGTAAAACTTTTCTGTCTTTTTATAAAATATGTTAGTACTTCTTTTATTTACAAGTTTCAATTGTTTTCTTTGAACTCTGTAGAGTTTCCCACGCCACGAGCAACAAATGCTGGAAAAAAATTCTCAAAACCATGGTTTTTTTGTCATGTTTCACTATTACCGTGTACACTCTGGATTATACGCCTTTTTTTTCCATATTCTTTCTTGGTTACCATATTGTACCAACAATGTGGATCATTTGTCCATATAATTTTTTGATTGATCTTAAGTCTATTTTAAGTAATCACTGCACCATTTTAGTCTCTTGACACAATTTTTCTTGTTTAAAAAAAAAAGACTTTTGTTTACTACCCTGAAGCAAACTCTTTACGTACCTTTATTTTTACAACAATTATTACATAAGTGTACAAGATTTTAACTTTGGTGACTCACTGATATTCTACGCTTCTTCATTATTTTCCTTTAACTGACTCACGTTCATTCTACGCTTCTTTATTATTTCTACGGTCTGCTTCATGAGAAATTTTCTCCAACTTTATTCATTGCAAGATTTGCAACAATTTTGTTGTAGCACAGAGTTTTTGCAAGTCAATAGATATAACTAGGAGACTGGTAAGCCGGTATTGAGTCATTGTAGATCTTAGCTATATCTTAACTAGACCAAGCTTACTGAACGATCACTCTCTAACTCTTTTTAAAAGTACTAATGAAGTGTTCGGAGTATTTTTTGAACACACTATTGTGTTCGAAAAGAGATATACAGTTTCACTTTTCAATTATTTATAATAATATTTGGTAGCATTGGGTATTATCGCAATATAAAACGATTAACAGTTGGGTTTTTAAGCAAATGATATATTTCAATATTTATAACAATTATAGTAATTAAGCAAGTATTTTTAAATTTTAAGATACTTGATGTTTAAAAAGATATTTAAGGGTTAAATGAAATAGCTAGCGTATGTGAAGACATCCTGAAAATGAAACAGCGTATGTGAAGACATCAAGAAAATATCAGGTTAAACAACTGATGGAAAATCGTGTTTTAAAATTAGTAGAAGAAGATAAAATAAAAATAGCTTCAAAATTAACAAAAAAATAAAAATAATACAAGATATGTTCTTCAAATAATAATAAATCTACACCATAATCTATATATAATATTATTATATAAGAAAAATCATTAATTTATCAAACATTAATAACCCGGGGTACTACGGTAAAGACTCACGGTACCACGGTAAAGACTCAATGTACCACGGTAACGGCGTAATATTCCCAATGTACCACGATAATGACACAATATATCACGGTAACTATATATCTTTAGTGAGCTAAACTTTTCTTCGCGGGGCCCGGGTATGTGAGCTCTATAAGGAAATTAGAAATAGGAGGATAACCACAATAAACTCATGTACCACGGTAGCTATGGCATTGCTATGTAATTTTAGAATAAGTTTATATGTGTTTTATTTGGTAAAATATATAAAACATATCAGAAGAATTTTGCTATCCTCTAGCTGCAATTTTGAGAAAAACAATTCCAGTTGCCACAAATACAAGTAAAATGAGTGTTAGATATGCAATATACTTTTTGTTTAAATTATCAATAAGTTTTATACTAATTTTACAATTTTGTTTCAGTTTTGTTTCACCTTCTGCATCCCATTCTATGTGTGGGTAATTAACATCACCAATTAATCCAATTTTTTGGTCTGCTGGACATTTGGATGTTCCAAGCACTAAATTGATTTTAGTGTTTACGCTTTTTGAACAAATTAAATCCTTTCAACAAATTAAATCCATAACAAACAAACTAAGTCGAGCAAATGAAATGCTTACCAAAATAAGGCATTTTTTGAATTATGAAACCCTTGTGAATATTTGGCATGCTATTTTTAACACCCATCTACGCTATGGTTGTCAGACATGGGGACAAACTTCATCCATTTAAAAAAAAAACCTAGAATAAATCATTAAAAATAATTCACTTTCAACCTAACAGTTTTAGTTCTCACCTACTATATAATCTTTCTAAAATTTTAAAGCTTGATGAACTTATCTACTTAACAAACTGTGTACTTGTATGGGACATTGTCTACAATAATATGCTTAACTGCTTCTCTAGCTATTTTAAATTCACAAATGATATTCATAGTTATAATCTTAGGTCTGTATCTTATTGTAGTCTCTCTAAACCTTTAAAATTAACTCATAAGAATGGCATAAAATCAATCAAGTATCAATCAATTCACTGTTGAAACTCTCTTCCTGTTAAAACTAAAAAAATATTATCCAAAATGACAAATAGAAATGCCTTCATAACCCATCTAAAAAGTTATTGCATTTTATTATTATGTGAAGTTACGTTGGTGTACCAAAGGTTGATGTGATTTTTTGGTGGGTCATTTTTTAGTATTTTTTGAGGCTAGGTATTGATTTTGACAAATGATTTGTAAAGCCATTTGTTAAACATATTGAAGAACCATTAAACAATTTAAATGATGTCACTAAGCGAATCACTAAACTTAATCCCTGATGTATCAGCTGGTATACCATCTCAAACGTCTACTGATATATCAACACCAACCAAAGCCTCCTCTAATTTGCCTTTTGGTGTATCATTCGATGTATAACTTGGTTTATCAATTATTAATTTATATTTGCTAATTTGATTGATCTTCGTTTCGATGAACGATTTAATGTGACATTCGAATTAAGTGTTTTTAAATTATTTGTGTTCGATTTATTTTCAATTTTTATTTTTAGATTTTCAATTGCTTAGAAAATATTTTGGCATTATTGTTATTTCGAATCCCATAATGATAGTTATTTATTTTCTCAATTTCTAGATCTTTGTTGAGTCGATTTCTTTCTTCAATTAAGAAATCGACTCAACAAGTAATTAGTTTTATGAAAATAAACTGCTTCTGAGTATTTCAAGCAAAATACTATACCCTTGCAACTCATATATAATATATTTTCAATGGGAAATAGCAGTCATCAAATATTTCTAGCTGAAGTATAGCGTTTAGAAAATTATTGTACATTTTTCAAACTATTCGTAATAGTTTGAATAGTATCGCAATAGTATTGCAATATTAACAATAATATAGGTAACCTATTTAGGTAACCTAAAATACAATGAAATTTTTTTTATAATTGTTCTTTAATATAATCATACTAGTATGTATATTTCATGAAGACATAGCTTCTATTTGTAAAAACAAAGAAAAAATAAAAAATCACACACAGAAACGGTAATGCTTAACTGACAACGTTTTTTAAATGATTTTGCGACGCAACAACAAAAAAACTCGTATTTAATGACGTTTTTTTTCCTATATACAGCATATGAATTATTATCTGTCTTGTAACCCACTACTTTTCTTTTTGACCTAGTCGGGTCTACCCAGTAGACCCGACTAGGTCATGGCCTAGGGCCCCAAATAATTAGGGGCCCCCGAATATTTAAAAACGTATTTTTTAATTTAAATAATATTTTAATATAATATTTTATTGTGAATTAATTATTAATGCGATTTAAACATTTATATTTATTATTATTTTACTTTATTTATACAAATACTTAAAATATTTCTGTGCAACGTAATCCTGAAATTATGCAGCATATTTTTAAGCTTTTTTCGCTCTTATCTGTAGAGACGTAAAAACTTCCAGAATGTTTAGAAAAAGCGAAGTAAATAAATTTCAAAGTATACTTTGAAATATATTTATATTTTAATAAATGAATTTAAGTGAATTAATTTCAAACTAGTGGTTTTAATAACTACTTTGATATTTATTTACTTTGCTGTTATTACTGCTATTGCTATTATAGTCAAAACATAGCCCAGCGTGTTTACACCATAAATAACCATGAACTTGCCCATGCTAACTGTTTAAGAGATCTTGAAGTTACCATTGATAGAAATCTCAGATTCAATCAACATATCAATCTTATCGTACATAAAACTATGTCAAGAGCTTTTCTTATTTTAAAATCTTTTTATTCACGAGATAGATTGCTGATTGTTAAAGCCTACTGTACTTATGTACGACCTATGCTTGAATATTGCTCTTCAGCCTGATTAATAAAGTTGAGAAAGTGCAGCGTTTCTTCACTAAAAGAATTGCTGGTCTGTGGTCAGTTTCTTATGATAAGCATCTAGCCATACTAAAGCTTAACACGTTAGAATATCGACGAGTGTTTAAAAATTTAGTTTTATGCTACAAAATTCTTAACGATAAACGGGACACTGACTTATCAAACATTTTTATTCTCAATTCTTACTTGAATAATCGCGGTCATAGCTTTAAACTGTACAAACACCATTGTAGTTTAAACAGCACTAAGTGTTGCTTTTCTAATCGAATTATTAATGTATGGAAAAGTTTATCGGAGAATGTGGTGTCTGCATCGTGTGTCTTGATGTTTAAGAAACATCTTGCTGTACTGCTTTGTTCAAGTTAATACAATTTAGTTCTTTTAACATTTCAGTAAAAAAAATTTAAGATTTTAGTAAAAAAAATTTTGTTAATGTATACTCCAGTGGCGGATCTACAGTACGGCAGATTAGGCGGCCGCCTAAGGAGAAGTATTATATTATAAATAAGGTGTATCTCACTTTACATTTTTTTAAAGTCAAAATTTCATTAGGATTTTTTTCACGGTTTCGGATTTGAAACCGCAAAAATGAGCGAAAAGTGTTAAATATATTGGCGAATATATTGATTGGCGAAATGGCTTTTTTATGCATTAGGCGAAATATTTTTTTCCTAATCTAAGGCAATCTGGAAAATCGGAAATTTACCCTAATTTAGTTAAAATTTGGCCGGTTGGTTTTTATGCCTAAGGCCGCCTGATCCGAGGCGATCTGATCAGAAAATTAAGAAAACTAGACATATTTGGCTGAAACTTGGCCGATTGGGTTAAGTTTAGGCATAAAAAGTCTGGAAATTAAAAAATTTAAACAATTTCCTTGAAATTTGGCCGATTGGGATATAGTTTACGCATAAAATGTCTGAAAATAATACTCTTAGCATTTCTTTCTTCAAGTGTCTAATTTAAGCTGTCTAAGATTTTTGATAATTTGTGAATTGCATTAGAGAGAAGCGATAAAGTTACATTCGAAAAGATAAACAAGAAGTATTCCCTCCAAGTTGATTCTTTATGTTTTTTGCATTCATTAATTAATCAAGTTCATCTTAAATATTTGCGCTGAAGCCTACTTAAACAAAACTGCAAAATCGGATAAATTAGTACCTATTCTGTAAGTTATTATTTGTTTATACTGCTTTATTTACGTTAAGTTATTTAATCAGAGGCTTTCATCAGATTAGCATTAGTATTAAATTATTCATATTTTGCTAGCAAATCACAAGTTAATCTTACAGATTAACTTGTAAAATAATGTTTCAGTGCGAACTATATATCAAATGCAAAAACTAGTTAGTGGTTTTAGCTATGGATTTATTTACAAGGATTTTAAAGTTAAACAATAAGGCTTTATACACCCATTGTTTTAGTCATCGAATAAATCTAGCAGTGTGTAATTCTTGCAAAGTTCAACTTCTCTGTAATGCTATGAACCATGTAAAAGAGGTTTTCTATTATTTTAATTTTTCTATCAAAAAAAAATTCTGTCTTGGAGACAATGATTTTAGAATACTGTCCTGATAAAAAGGAAAAAAAACTTAAAGATGTTAGTTGAACTAATTGGCTTGAAAGAATAGATGGTTTGGACACATTACAGAAGTTGTATATTCCAATAGTTTATTCCTTTGAAGCTATAAGCAATGACATAAATAAGTTTGGGGCAGACTCCCAAAGAGCTACATCTTTATTGAAATTGGTCACTACCTTTGAATTTATTATTTCCTTGGTTGTGGCTAGAGCTGTTTTTGATAAAAAACATATAGTGACTAAGATTGGAGGGAAAACTTCAAGATTTTTTCTGATTTTTGTTATGAAGATTTGTCAAATCCATTAGCTTTAGATGCAGAGTGTAGTCTTTGGGAGGTATACTGGACTACTAATTATCCCATTCCAAACAATGTGTCTGATACTATAAAGTCAATTTCATGTATAAAAACTTTTGCCAATATTTTTGTTTGTTTGCAGTTATTAGCAACTTCACCCGTGACATCGTGTTCTTATGAAAGATCTATTTTAAATCTTCACAGATTCAAAACCTGGTCAAGATCAACTATGTCTGGAGATCGTTTGGTTTAACATTGATGTATACACATAAAGATATAGTTCCAGATAATCAAGAAGTTATCAAAAAGTTAATGCAAAGAAATGGCTATGTTTCTGTACAAATAAGTCAAAGTCTCTGTGACTCGGTTTATTCGTAAACACTTTTATAGTTTAAAGACTGTTGACTAAAGCATATAAATCACTTAAAATCTCTGTGAATATGACTTCGTTTCGTCTACTATAATCACTATAATCTATAATCACAAGTTAAATCTTTTAATCACAAGTTAAATACACTTTTAGTGTCAATCTAATTGACACTAAAAGTTTATTGCATTCATTTGTATGTAGGATAAAAACATATATTTTATTGCCTAAAAATACATTTGGCCATTAATATATTTTTCAACCTTAAAATCCAAAATTAGTGAAAATAAAGATTAAAACATTTAAATATATTAGTAAATAAAGAGTTATGGAAAACCTTTCTGGTTGAAACAGTTCAGTACAATATATTATTTATCCTAATTTTTATTTCATTAAATTAGCAGTTTACTTTCTGAGGGGATTTTTGTTTTATAAAAAAATTTTATATTGTTAAAATTGTTTTATTGTTAAAATTCTTATATTGTTAAAATTGTTATATTGTTATTATTAGTATAATTGTTCAAGGAACTCTCCTGAACAATATTACTAAATAACTAGCACATTTTTATTTTTTGTTGTTCAAAATTGCAACTACGATTTCAGGCTTGTGATTTAGACGGTTTGTGTAAATTTTCAAGTGATTTTTAACAACTGGAATTTTTCTTATCTTAATCCTTAATAACAGAACAGTTTTTATCTTTACTCAATCACTAGGAGGACTTTATCAACATTTAAAGTGTAATTTCAAATCATGAAATATTTTTTAAAAACTTTATGAATGTTTAAAAACTACTTTATTTTATTGTCATAATACTCTTTATCTTTTATGATTAAGTTTCCTGTTAATCAATGAATGAAAATGTGCAAGGAAAAGCAGTTTGCTAATTGATTGTGTATTTTTCTGTCATACACCTTCAGTCGTTCTGCATAAAAAATCGTACACATGAATAGGAAGGAACCTTGACGTGGTTCATGTGCTTTAAACAAATACCTTCCAGACAGATACATTCTCACCCGTTGTACTGTGAGAGATAAATGGTCAGAAATTTGATTTCTTTAGATTTTTTTTTTTGTCTGAATTTATTTATTACTCAATAAATCAAATTTTTTAAAATGTATTAATAAAATCATAGTTAATCTACTATTTGTTTTCAATGGTTTGTATTCTTCGAATTGGCTAATAAAAATTAGCAAATCAATAAAAAGGGCTGGTGCTAGTTGCCGATACAGATTGTGATATATTTGGCTGATTAAGCTGATGCAGATTAATCTGAACATCACCAAGAATATTCAGATTAATTTTGAATTTCCAAATTCCTTTTTTTATTTTTAGTTGACATCGAGTACATAAACCATATTAAGAATAGCTAGTATAGGTATAATTTTTTATTAAATTTTGCATATGTTTCATGTAAAAGATGATGACCAGAATCAAGTTTATATTTATAAAAAAAAATCCAAAAACAATAAAAAAAACAATAGTTTGGGAGGGAGCGATTTTAAGTTAATTTTTGCTTGAATTTTAGACTTATATTGTCTTAACCAGTTTAGCATTAAAATTTTTTTTTGTTTTTGAAAATGCGTTCTTATTTTTATAAAAGGCTGCAAACACCGAGTCTCACAAAAAAAATTCCAAATCGTGCAAATGGGGTGAATACATAGGGGGAGCCCCCCTGGTGTAAAATAAAAACCTTTTGAAAATATAAATCCGAGTTAGTATAGAGTTGACAAATAGTAAATGGGGAAGGGAGGCTTATTTGGTATTAGAGAGTACCACTCTCTGGGATGGATTGTGTTATATCAATCGTGGCTCAGTAGTTAGAGCATTGGATTCGTAATCTAAGGGTTGCGAGTTCGATCTCTACTCGAAGCACGTAAAGGTTATCGGTAAGGTTGGAAACGGAGTGCCAAGTTACAAATGTAATTGTCTTTGCGGCGGTGCTCTGTGACAAGGCCATTAGGACTTCTTAGAGCACCTTAATAACAACAACAAAAAAATGGGGGTGAGGGGCGCTAATATTAAAAAAAAAATCGCCAAAGGAAAAATAAATCCTAGATCCGCCCCTGTACTCAGTATTAGTGGCCTTCGGATCCTTCTGTTGTTTTCAAATAAATAAATAAATTAATAATTTTTTGTTAATTGTTTTTTTTATTTTATCCTTATTATTGTCAAAAATTTGCTTTGTATTGTCTATTTTTCTTAGTTAAAACTTTTAAACAGCGCGCGAAAAGTTGATCGCAGCGGTTGCTAAAACTTAAATGTAATTTAAATCATAACAATAATCCATTGCAAGTTCTTTAAAAAAGGTGAGTATTAGTTTCATTTTTCATGTTTACACAAATAAGCTTATATAAATGATGATCTATCTAATTTTCTGATTAAGTCGGATTTTATTAGAACATTTTCAATTTTAAATTCAATATGAAAATTGGCAGTTGTCTATTTATGCATAATGATAGATTAAACCATGCCACGATCTTACCTAAGTGGGTCAAACAAAAGAAAACTAGCAGAGGTAAAAAAAAATTAATTATGGTGCTAATTTAGAGAAAATTCCGAAATTACCTTCAGTATTCCAAGGGTCTGTTCTCCCATCTCTATCATCCAGATGTAGTAATGAAATTAATTTTTATTTATTGTATGTTTCATCAATTTCTAAGCATTTTGAAATGGATATTTATTGCAGTGTTAGTAAATTTTTAGGTTCAATCGCAAACTTATAAAATTAATTATTTCGACAGCAGCGATTCTCCTGCTCATCAAAAGAAATTGAACCCTCAGAATGAAAGCTGTTTGAATGATCTTGAGCAACACATAGTTAGATCTGATCCTCTTACTTACGGAAATAAATCTACTATTGAGAAGGACTGTCGTTCAACCGATTCTGGAAAGTGGGATAATTTTAATTAAGGTGACGTCAGTTTTGGATTAATCGTGGTCTACAAGAGTTTGACACTCTTCATTCTGGACCATTTGAGTGTTCTCGTAGATTTTACAATACAGAGAGTTGAAGAAAGCAAATGGCAAAAGATTTTTTGCCATAATGGCTAATTTATTCTCCAACAACTGGTTTTGTGTGCTGTTTCCCTTTTAATTGTGTGCTGTTAAACTTTTTATGTCAAAAGAAAAATCAAACAAATTCACTAGCGATGGATTTAATGATTGGAAGAATATTTTTCAAATAAATCAACAAGAGAATGCATGTTGATATATTTTCGGAGAAAAAAAAAGCTCAGTTGTGATATTTTTTTCACAATGTGTTGGCAAACAAAAAAGCTCAATTGTGACTTTTTTGTTGCCAACACTATAGCAACAAAAAATTGATAAAATCATTATCAAAAACGCGTCGGGAGGTTTATGCAAATGCCACTGAAGCAGTTCTCAATTCTTTTAAAACAATTTTGACAGTACTGAATGAGATTGTTAAAGATCCCTCTCAAAAAAGTGAGCTGAATGTATTGCAAATAAAATGAGAACTTTTGAATTTGTCTTCATCCTCGTATTGTGGAACAATATTTTAATTAGTTTTCAATCGACAAGCAAAGTTCTGAATTTGAAAACAAAGCAAAGTCAATCTCGCCAGGTATTGATTAAAAAGAAGAAGTTCTAAAGAACTTCATACCCAATTCATGATATTACTTGCTTGAGACTTTTTGTATAAACAGGTTCATAGTAATTATTGATAGGCTTAAGAGAGAGACTAATAAGCGAAGCAAAGTTTACTTAGAGGTTGCGGAGATGTTTCCTTTTTTGGCTTTAATGCCGATTTAGTAAATTGTGATATCCTTTATAAGTTTTTTTTTTGCAAATGCCCTAATCATTTATGTAAAGAAGCATACGTAAATTATATTTAAAAACTAAAAAAATGTAGTATGTTTAAAAAACAAATTCATACCAGGTTTATCACATAATTTTTTATATTTATGAAGGAAAGGCTTATGTACATTGGTATTAATGAATGTACGTACTTTATTACTCAATAACCTTTCAAAATAAAATTTTTTTAATGCAAAAATGGGGCCCCCAAAAGTTTTAGTGCGTAGGGCACCAGTTTTCCTTAATCCAGCACTGTTCGTATATCCATGATTAGAGCTGTATTAAAGCGGGGACTAATATACTACAGACTCAGGTCCTTAAAATTAACAAAAATTAACATTGCTAAGTTTTGAAATTTTGCTTAAATGTAAAGTAGGGGAAAGGCGCCTATGATGGCATACTTAACTTTGAAGCTTCATTATTTAGTATCCTGAAGACCAATTAATAAAAGTTTTGATATGAATGCATTTCTTGTTACATGTAGAACAATAATAATCCTCGGAATTTTTATCAATTTTTTTATTTTTATAAGTTATTCCTATTTAAAAAAAAGCAACTACTGCTTCTATGATGGCATAGGAGAGAATGGCAACTACTGCTTCTATGATGGCATAGGAGAGAATGGGGCTGATTAGGATCAAGGATAACTTGATGGTGATTTCTTTTAACCTTAGAGTCTTCCCTCAAAAAAGCCAGAAATTACTCGGAACCATCCTAATTTACCATTTCATGCTACACAGCAGCATTGTAAAGATTCGCGCATGCGCATAGAATTTATTGCGTTTTATGACCAAAAAAAAAACTTTTGAAGCATCGCTTTCTTTTTACTTTACTTAAAAATAAGTTTTTCTTATAAAAAAATAGGTTTTCTTAATTCGTCAATATTGCAACACACCTAACTCGTCAGTATGCCATTATTGGAAGAAGTCATCATTTTCATTAAAACAAGCGGTGTCTGCCTTGTTCAAAAGATAAAATTAAAGTAAGTATTCCACTAAATGCACAAAACTTCGATATAAAATGCATGAAAATTCCTTTTCTGCACAGTTAAAATAAAATCACAATCTCAAACATATGAAGGGAATAAAACTACAACAGCACATCCCAAAATCGGGTTTTCTTGATTATAAAAACAATATTTGTGAAAAAGGGACTTATTTTTACTAAAACTAATGTTAAGTCATGTAGTTCTAATGTATAAGTAATGTAATGTATAATAAACTAATGTATAGTAATGTAGGTCTAATCACCTTTTCACCAAAACCAATTTTTATGGAAATATGACCGGTAAGCCATCATAGGCGCTATGCCATTATAGGCGCCTTTCTCCTTGTAAATGACGCTTCTAAGAAAGTATTTTTTATATAAAAAAATTTTAATATAAAATTTGTAAACAAAAAAAAAAAGTTCAAAATTTTCATTTTTTATTTTATTTTTAACTAAACATGTTCATTTTAATTACATGAAAAAATTTGAAAGTTTAACAGCAACAGATACATAAAATATTTAATTGGAAAATATATTCATATTAAATTTATTTATATATAAAAAACATTTATACGAGCTTTTGGCTAATCTCTCTACAAAAAGCAAACACGTACTTTTTAACAAACATTTTCCTTATATTTGGCTTAATTACTTTATTAATTTGATTCTTTATTTTTTGCGTGTAGTTAATTAATTTTCATATATTTTAACATTTACATGAATATTTTCAAGTGTTTATAAAATGCTTATTATAGAAATATTTACAACAGTTTATTAATAACAATTTTTATACCGTGAGTTTTTATCGAATAAAATATAGGTCGACTTTTAAAAGCTACAAAATCTTTATCAAGTTCTTGGGCATTTTTGCTGTATGGTTTTCTAATGTTGATGATGTAGGGATCGGAAGTGTACAGAAGAGTATGAAATACGTCCTTATTTGTAGCTAATCTAGAACATTTCCTGGTATGACGAAGGCGAATTAAGGAACGATTTTAGTGGGGGTAGTCGTGAACGCTTATTGTTTTCTCAAAGTATTTTAGCGTATCTAATAACACACGGGCGTTTCTTAAATAAAATTGTTATACATTATTTATTTAGTTTATTATTGTAATACTTACATATATGTGTGTGTGTGTGTGTGTGTATTTGTGTGTAAATTATGTTATTATACTTCACAAATTCTCTTCACTTTTACCTTCTGTATACAGAAGGTAAAAGTACACACACATGCTTTCTAATACTATAGTATCAGAAAGTATACCTTACAGAGATGATGAAGCTACTTAAATATAACAAATAGATTAGTTTTTTTTTACTATATCATATATATAAAAGACTAAAAAGCTTCAGCATGTTCATAGGATTTATTTCATATCATTCATTCAAATGTATCATGATCCACCTACGGAAGATTGGATTATGTGTTACAATTGTAACTTGTGGTTCCACGAGAAGTGCACAAGTTGTGCAAGCACATCCAGAGGTTTTCTCTGTGATTTTTGCACTTAATTAATAGATGTAACAATTTATGAACAACATTTATTGATACTTGACATTTCATTTATTGATAT